CGGGAAATGTTTCCGCCATTTCGGTAAATAAAGAAACGAAAATTTCATCCTTGCAAATTGATCGCTTTGAGAGCTCATACACCACACAACCTTTACCGGCAGTATTCAATACAACATCGAAGGAAAAGAAAATTTGCATGGCAGAAACCATCTCCATAGACTAGTGTCATGCGTCAACCTCCGGTCTTCAATTAAGAAAAAAAGGTTGTACCAAGTGCACAAACCTCCGTTGATAATGGTGTCTTAGATGAGCGGTAAACTTGGACATTATGAGTTTAAATTTTGACAACTCATTGAGACTAGATTATGAAGGATTTATCCCTCGTGAATACCCTAATTTCAAAGTGGATAGCCTGTCTTTGACCGGATCAGAGAGAAGATTAATTGAGATGTGCGTAAGCTGACTTAGACACTCCTGATTGTTGAACAAAAAAACAAAAGAAGAAGAAAAAGGGGTCTTAGTCTAATTTCTCATTAGTTTCATAAAATTTGTTTCAGTTTTATAAAATTTACTTAGGCACTTATATGTTCTTGCATGGGTAATTAAATACTTTGTGTGCTGCACTAATTTTTGCAACCTAAAATACTGGTTGTTACGAGATGGATTCTAGGTCAATTTTTTTTCTTCGGTCAACTCGTTACCCAAAGCGTTTTAGCAATATTGAAGAAAGAAAGAAAATAGAAGAAAAAAAAACTAAAAAATTTATTTCTGAATCGTTGGTCACGGCCTCTCAAACACGTTGTCCGAGCTGATTGGTTAGACATTGACTACTTCACTTATTAAATTAGTATTAGCCATCTATCCCATAATGGTATGAAATAAAAAAGAACGCGAAGTGCTATCACTATAAGATCGGTTTTTTTTTTTTTTTGGGGAGAAAATAAGCTTACTTCTTCACAAGCTTATTCCCGCCCTGACCGGCGGTTGTTGGGTCTCCCCTTCTCTCTTAAACTTTCCCCCGTTGTCTTTTGCCCGAGCTGTATGGTATAGAAACTCGTCCCATGTTTGGTTCGGAGGCTGNAAGCTTATTCCCGCCCTGACCGGCGGTTGTTGGGTCTCCCCTTCTCTCTTAAACTTTCCCCCGTTTTCTTTTGCCCGAGCTGTATGGTATAGAAACTCGTCCCATGTTTGGTTCGGAGGCCGAGCCCTTTGGTCCTTTAAGTGGAATCGAAATAAAACTTCGATCCTTAACTTTGTGACTTGAGATAAAAAACAATGCAATTAGAGTCTAACACGTAATTTGATGGCAGGATTGGAATTCAACATTACCTTAAAAATTCAGCCGAAAATGGCATATTTCAGGTCCTTTTTGCCATGACAAACAGATGGTGGCAAAAGAAAACAGCGACAAACACATTGATGTAGAAGGATACCTTCTATACTTTGTTTGATGTTTTAAAATAAGTGCCCTAGAAGAAAATGATGGAGTAAGATACCATTTTGGCCAATATAAAAATGTGCAAAACTCTTACATTACTCAATTGAAGAAAAGTAATTCTATGAATCCACATTTGGGCAACAATCGGTACTCTAACTCCGACTTATAGCTGTTAATATCCGCCATCTTATATGTATCTTCTTAGTTTTTTAGTGAANTTTTTTTTTTTTTTGGGGAGAAAATAAGCTTACTTCTTCACAAGCTTATTCCCGCCCTGACCGGCGGTTGTTGGGTCTCCCCTTCTCTCTTAAACTTTCCCCCGTTTTCTTTTGCCCGAGCTGTATGGTATAGAAACTCGTCCCATGTTTGGTTCGGAGGCCGAGCCCTTTGGTCCTTTAAGTGGAATCGAAATAAAACTTCGATCCTTAACTTTGTGACTTGAGATAAAAAACAATGCAATTAGAGTCTAACACGTAATTTGATGGCAGGATTGGAATTCAACATTACCTTAAAAATTCAGCCGAAAATGGCATATTTCAGGTCCTTTTTGCCATGACAAACAGATGGTGGCAAAAGAAAACAGCGACAAACACATTGATGTAGAAGGATACCTTCTATACTTTGTTTGATGTTTTAAAATAAGTGCCCTAGAAGAAAATGATGGAGTAAGATACCATTTTGGCCAATATAAAAATGTGCAAAACTCTTACATTACTCAATTGAAGAAAAGTAATTCTATGAATCCACATTTGGGCAACAATCGGTACTCTAACTCCGACTTATAGCTGTTAATATCCGCCATCTTATATGTATCTTCTTAGTTTTTTAGTGAAAATCTAGTAAGTTTCGCTTAGTTTCGTACACCCACTCAAAATGGTTACTAGACAATCTTAGATCTTTACTGATAAAAAAATCAGATTGCTCATCTGTTATAGCATTTTAGCCCAGACGTGATGGAAGAACTGCCGTAAAAAGATTCTTCGTATATTATATGTAGCAAAATTATGAACTGAGAGTTGACAATCCGGACCGTATTGAAAAGGTTTCTCAACATGGTATGGCATGAGCAAGATTATTTTTTACGCGTATTATGCTACTGTTCCAATACTATACTGAAATTGATCTGTAACCATAGATTTTAGTTTAAATCATTTTGTAATTATTGGTTGAAAAAATAAAAAAAAAGTAATAACAAATAATAAAATAAAAAAGGATATGTATCATATATTTGTTGGCTGAAAAATAGAGATATAATATCTAAAAATTGCGTTTTAGTCTCTTGGTTGGATTCATCTATATATACTATAGCATGTCACCATCCAAGTACAATTATGCCCTTTGATTAGGCTCCTCTTTTTTACTAATCTTGAAATTAGAGTGGAACTACATATCACAAGTCTAACTATTGGACCATGCACTTCTATCTTTTGAAAATATGCTCTAGACCAACTTAAATTACAGTGGTCAGTCGTTGAATTTGATAGAATAATCAGTACAAACTTAGATACTCTATAACAAAATAAAAAATGGTAGGAATCATAATCAAAAACCAATTCAAGCCCGCTTAAAACTTCCAAGTTCCTACCATAACAATTGAAACTGTCAATGTCAACATGGTCTTCTTCATTTGAATATTCTTACCCCCAGGTGCAGAGCCAGACTTCTTGGGCAACTTAAAATGTAATAATAATGTTTCATTTTTTTACAAAAAATAACTGTATAAAAGAATAATTTAAAAAAATTAGAAAAGAAAATTTCAATAACGACCATCTGAATATACCCATCTCTCATAATTAAATTTTTTTATGTACTATTCATTATCCATTTTCTAAGAGATTAATCATTGTGCATAATATTCCAAAGAAATTGATACACAATCGGATTGAGTCATTATATTTCAATTAAAAATCAAATTATAAAAGCCCAAATGCCTATTGTTAACCAAAAAAAAATGTAGTAATAATACAAACGCTAATTATAGTGGCAAAAAAATGTAAAAGTTGACGAAATCAAAGAAATCGTTTATGTATTATCTCTTATAAAAACTCTGATAAAATCTCAAAAACTCTCATTTTCTTTACTGTTTATTCAATTATTTGTTTGGACGATCTAACAGACTCATTTATCGTCCAAATCTACTAAGGTTAAATACTTCCCCAATTCCATGTTAATTTTGTAACATATTGGCCATTTGTGAGCATTACAAATAGTTAGAGATGTTTATCCAAATAAAAAAAATAGAAGCCATTGACAAAAAGTGATCAAGTTTAACCCAAATCAACTCTTTTTGGTGTATCCCTTAATATAACCATCCATGCAATTTTAGTTGGAGTTAATCAAATTTTGGTTTCATTTGATATGTTGGATTCAAGAGGAAAGTCGTATACGGCTAAGATGACTTTGTTTCAATTGATATGTTGGATTCAATAGTTGGGCAGAGTAATCAAATTGACTAGTGGCCGGCCGACACATGAGCTATACTCAACCTGCATGTCTACCAAAATACAAAACGGTAGAGACCAACCCACATTTAATATACGTAAATACCCCTAAATTTGCTAAAAAATTTCAATGGGGGCAATATCCAAATAGTTTAAAAATTCTAAATACATCCCAAAGGTTTTTAAAATTACAGTGGGGACAGCTGCCCCCACTGTAGATCCGCCCCTGCTTATCCCATGGACCTTTTTGGTGTTTTGGTCTTTAGCCGAAGTAATGTCAACAAAGCAAGCATTTAGAGCCTGCACTTTTCTAAGCAGTCCGACCTTAATTGATACCTAAGTTGGAATTTCTTCAACTATAAAAGGGATTTGTCTCCAACGTCAAAATGTCACAACCATTTACACTTGAAAACTATACATATTTTCTTTCTCTATCATTTGCTAAGCACGAATTACCTGACACGATGACAATCGTTAGCAGAATTTATCTGAACCCTATGAAAATTGTTAAACTTTTCACTCTTCTTTTCTTCTTTAGATTTGCATCGGTTTGTGGATTCCCTGCTAACACAAAGGTAATGTGTGAGTGCACTTGTGCCTGTGTGCGTCTATTTCTGTGTGTTTGTACGTGTGCATATGATAGAAGAGAGGGCAGAAGAAAGACAAAGAAGATTATTTAGTTTGCATAGAGTGCTAACTTTATTAAGATTCCTGTATAACGAAACAATCGTTCTCATGTAGATAGGTAAAAGAGTCAAGCTTTATAAACAAGCAAATAAGTGTATTATTGATGGCTAATTTGGTGTATTTTTCATTAATGTGCAGCATTACATTGTCTACATGGGGCATCTTTCACACTCCGATTCAGAGTCGGTGATCACAGCAAACCGTGACATTCTAGCTTCAGTTGTTGGAAGGCATGGCACTAATCTCACACAGATCTGAGCTAACAATCGTCACTATTCAATTCAATTTCTGTTCCAATTTTTTATATAAGTCGGAGAATGCAAAACCCGAAATATATCAGTCATGCATATCGTTTTACTAGAAAGTATAAGTTATGATAAGATTCTGAAAAGGAAAAAAAAAAAAAAAGTAGATATTAACTGTTTCATTTCAATGGATTTTCAGTATTGACGGAGCAAAAGAAGTGGTAATTCACCATTACACGAGAAGTTTCATGGGCTTCTCGGCTATGCTTACACCAGATCAAGCTCAAAAACTTGCAGGTCTGCCTGAGTATATGCTCCTTTCCTCTCATAATAGTTCCTGATCAACAAATGCAGTTTTAGAGAGAGAGAGAGACAGAAAAGAAATAGATTGATGGATATGTCAACTATCTTATGCCAGCCTTTAGTTATTCCTTATATACATAGCAATGAACAATGACCTTTTTGACAGAACGGAGGGCCAAAACATTAAGAAGGGTTAATTATAAAATGCTCCTTCAATATCGAATTTGAAACTTGACGGAGTTGATTACAACATGACCCAAACTTAGAGGCCTAATGGGCAGGCCCGTTGCCGAGGCCTATGCTTTACGCCTCCAATCATCTCAAGCCGGCGCCTTTTCTCTCCTCATTTCCATCTGGTCATACAGAATTGTCTCCTTCTAACCTTTGCTTGTTTACTTTCTTCAATCTAGTCAGTCCTGGTCAATATCACATGGCTTGTTCATTTTTTTCATCCATTTTTTTCATCCGAACAACTCTTGTAATATTAAGATCCTATAACAGTCATAGTACTCAGACAATGAAACAACTGAATATAGATAGTCTATCACACTACAAATGTGTCTATCCTAATGCTTATGATTTTGGACATATCTACTGCAGAAAGCGATTCGGTTGTATCTGTGTTCAAAAGCACGATGCATAAGCTCCACACAACACATTCATGGCAATTTTTGGGAGTGGACTCTATTCAACAATATAATCAACTGGTAAGGGCTGCAAAGTCGAACATTATTGTGGGCGTCATTGACACTGGTAATAGTTCATCAATTACATCCTTTGTTGAACCTTGTTTTACCCTTATCATCCTCACTATGTTGGAAATTTAATCATTAATTGCAGGAGTTTGGCCTGAGTCCCAGAGCTTCAACGATTACGGATTAGGACCCATGCCTGAAAAATTCAAGGGAGAATGTGTAATTGGGGATGCATTTACATTGTCTAACTGCAACAGGTAACAACATTCTATACACCACCAATAGTGGACCATATAATTATTATTTGTATAATAAACAGAGTGTCCATAAACATATAAAACACAATAACGATCATTCAGTGTTGCGATGCAGATGATTTATCTTAGAATTTATACTTTGACCACAATAAATTTGTGTACTAACATTTTAACGACATTAACTCTATTCTCTTACATTTTAACCACCCTTTTCATTCTAACTGTGCATTGCACAAGGTTCATAGTTATGTAGTATGTTATAAATGCAAGTTTTGACAATAAGAGTTGGACTGATGTTTTCAGGAAAATCATAGGAGCTCGATTATACTCCAAAGGGTTTGAATTAGTAAATGGGCCTCTTGAATCTTTCAATCGTACTTTCTTTCGTTCATCAAGAGATAGTGATGGGCATAGAGCTCACATTGCCTCAACAGTGGCAGGATCACTGGTTGCCAACACCAGCTTATTTGGGATAGGATGTGGTTCAGCAAGAGGGGGGTGCACCAAGTGCTAGACTTGCCATCTACTAGGCTTGTTGGTTTGAGTTGTGCAATGATGCTGATGTTCTTTCCGCCTTTGACGATGCTATTAATGATGGTGTTGACATTCTTTCTCTTTCCTTCGGCCCAATGCCTCCCCAACCAAGTTTCTTCCAAGAAGTAAATTCAATAGGTACTTTCCATGCATTTCAGAAAGGAATTCTTGTTTCTGCATCTGCTGGGAATTCCTTTTTACTGCGTACTGCATGTAACGTTGCTCCATGGATCCTTACTATTGGTGCAAGCACTATGGACCGCAAACTCCAGTCCGACATATACCTTGGAAATTCCAAAATCATAAAGGTGATGTTTTCATATATGTTCCCCGCACCAGCTGCATTGACACTACAAGAAAATTGTATTTTACTACTAAGTTTTGGCGATGAACAGTAAAATTTGTCTTAAAAATGTGATTTTCAACAACAATTAGAAAACTTGATAAGTTTTTTGGAGACTTTTTTTTCAATTGTCGCTGAAAGGCTTCACAAAGAAGTTCTCGCCAACTTATATTTGGTGCCAATGGTGGTGCAAAATGATGTTTTGCACAAAAGCAGTCAATCTATAATTAGTGTGGAAATATATGGTGTTTCAGGGTTTTGGAGTAAACCTTCAAAATATGGAGAACTATTATAGTTTAATAGCTGGGAGTGGTGCCGCAGCTAGCCCCTGGAATTCCCCCCCAAAATGCAAGGTATAATCTATTTTTGACTAGCTCTAAAATGGAAATGTTTCGAAAATAGAATAAAAAGCCAAAAAATTCTAGAATTTTATTCTGAAACGTTGGAAGAAGGTTCTGAAAACATTAAGGAATCACCAAAACTACAGTAAAAATGATTGAAACAAAATAAAATTTTGATACCTGCTTCGTTAGTTCGTAGTCAATGTACTATCAAGGATATCAAATAATATTGAAATGGATACCACCATAATTGTTAATATTTTATGATACTACGTATTTGCGAATACGTAATACGCATTTTATGATGCATTCCAATACAATAAAAATACAATACATAAAATATCAAAACGACCTCGTTTCAAAAGACTTTTTCTACCTAAACAATGGATCAACATTGTTTTCTCGATATGTTGTTTTTAATTTTTGGGTTTTACCTCAAACAAACGAAGCTATCGATCATCTAATTCTCTCAAGACCCACTTTTTGTTTTTCTTGAATCTTATTCTTCGGACAAAATGTTACCTACATTTCGATCTCTGTAGTGTAAACAAATGATTGTTCATCTTTTGATCTCGACTTAACACACAAATCACATGAAATTATAACTGAGTTGAAATGATATTTATATTACTTCAGACATAATATTTTTAGGTATGCGTATATATATGTGTGTGTATGTCTAAACTTAAGTTGAACGTATCTTATGAGATATGATACATTATGATACATGATATAATTTTTTAAAATCAATACACATTCCGATATATATTTTGTCAACCATGAATACTGCATGACAACCTCCCCCCATTTTATTCAACTACTCCCATCTTTGCCCTCAAAGAACTCTTGGGGAAAAGAAGAAAATGCCTGAAAGTGACTCATTTTTATGAACTTTATTTTATAGTCTTGAGACTGTTTTTCCTTTTTTTCAGCTTCTGCAAGAACAATACGCTAGATCCTACCTTAATTAAGGGGAAGATTGTGGTTTGCACAACTGAGTTGCTTACTGACATACGCGCAGAAAAGGCCATTTTTGTGAAACAAGGTGGTGGTGTTGGGATGATACTCATTGATCCAGTAGCCAAAGACGTTATCTTTCAGTTTGTAATCCATGGTAGTGTTATTTATCCAGAAGCAGCAGAAGAGCTTCAGGCATATATGGCCACAGAAAAGTAGGTTCCAAAGCTTCTTGCTTTCGATTTAAAAGATGGAGACATAAATATAATTGCATTGAAACTATGAGTTATAGTTCTATACCAAGGAGAATAGATAGTTTTTCAACATTATGATTCTTTGGCTATATATTTCAGGGATCCTGTGGCTAAGATCCTCCCACACAGACAGTTCTATTTACCAAGCCCGCACCAAGGATGCTTGGGTTCTCTTCAATGGGTCCAAACATTATAACACCAGACATCATCAAAGTAGGTTCTGAAAGAACTAAACAATATTTGCAATTTTAATCTCAAACATGAATTTCATCAATTTCCAAATCAAGTGTCGTACCAATATTGATAGAGAGTATTTTGTGCCTGTGATGAATTTGATGAACATCAAACTCACACAAATCCGACATGATAGCTGCAAATTCTTTTTTTTTTTTTGTGCAGCCTGATATTACAGCACCTGGGGTGAATATTTTGGCAGCATGGTCTCCGGTAGCAACTGGAGTCACAGCTGGACGCACACTTGACTATAACATAATTTATGGTACTTCCATGTCTTGTCCACATGTTTCTGCTGTGGCTGCTATTTTAAAGTCATGACATCCTTCCTGGAGCCCCGCAGCAATAAAATCTGTAATAATGACAACAGGTAAGTTCTTCAACCTGATCAGATTTTTTTTTTTATCATTTTTTTTATGGTTAAGCGTCAATATTGTTATTGCTAGTTGTTTCTAAGATTCACATCTTATTCTTGGCAGCGACAGTCCTAGATAACACTCAAAACTTCATTAAAAGGAATCCCAATGGCGCCTCAACCACCCCTTTTGACTATGGATCCCGGCACATAAATCCAGTTGCAGCGATGGATCCAGGGCTAGTATACGATTTTGATTCGAGTGACATTGTCGATTTCCTCTGCAGCACTGGTGCAAGCTTGACACAACTAAAAAAATTCACGGGCAAACTAACTTATTGCAAGAATCCTCCTAAACCGTCACATGATTTTAACTATCCATCAATCGGGGTGTCCAACATGAATGGAGGTTTATCGGTGCATCGAACTGTTACATACTATGGTGAAGGTCCGACAATTTACTGTGCACAACTAGAATATCCAAGTAATGTAAATGCCAAAGTTATACCGAATGAGCTCAAGTTTACAAAGTTTGGGGAGAAGATGTCTTTTAGGATAGATTTCACTCCTTACAAGAGCAGTAATGGAAGCTTTGTGTTTGGAGCGTTAACATGGTTCAATGGCATCCACAGGGTTAGGAGTCCCATTGCCCTTAATGTGGTTTCTGCGGGGGAATGAGTGAACCTACAACACTTAAATTTTTAAGATTTATAATTTGGTTAACGTGAATTTTATTGTGTTTAAGTAATATGAGAGAGAGAGAGAGAGAGAGAGAGAGAGAGCTCATTACAATGTATGCTTCTAGTTTGAATATTTTGTTATTCGACATATGCAATTTGTTTTTGAATCATTTGTTGAAAAAAATAAACTTGTTTTAGGGTTTTATTATGTTAGTAAGGTGTCTTAATAAGGTGTGTTAGTGGATTAGTGGTATGTTAATATGCTATGTGGTGGGTGAGTGAATTGTATTGAAGATGAGCTAATTCTCCAAGAAGTGGAGAAAGTGGGTTAATATTTAAGGAGTTACAAGAGTTAGTGGAGGTAGTGACATATTAATGCAAAGTTATGAGCTAGTACGTTTGATATCCATATAAATAGGAAATATAGTCTATGTTAGAAGTAAGTGAAGTTGAGTAAAAGTTTAAGAGTCTAAGTTGAGTGTATGTGTTTTATAATCAACTCAAATGCATTTTTTTTTTTGAGTTTTCTTATCCTTTTCTATTTTCTTCCGTTTTATTTCAAGTTCTCTTGATTTCAACAATGTGGTATAGAGTGATTTTCTAACAAAAGTAACATTGGAGTAATTCCAACATTATTTAATAGATGTGCTATAATTAAACCTTTACCATTCTGTTTCCTTTATTTTTGAAGATAAACTAGAGGAGATTCTAGACCGGCAAGTGTGACAAAAAAAATGATGTTTATAGGTCAAATCTTCGGAGTCTTATACATTTTCTAATTTTATGTATGTTTAAGGATGAAGAAAATAACACTTTTTCAATTTTATTTTACCATATAATGTTCTATGTTGTTGAAGAACATCATTCTTGCAAAATATGCACTATTTTCTCATATGTGTACAAAACCAAACCAAACAAGTGTGTTATTTTGTCCTTCATATGTGACAATAGATTTTTTTTGACTTGGGTCTCATTTGCTTTGTAATTGTCCAAGCATTTATAAATATCAAAATGACATAAACACACACAAATGCGTGATCATTGAGGTGAATAATGCATGATTTGTATTCTACTTAATTACCATTACATGAAATTGTGAAGTACAATAACAAATGGGGGTCAAAGTGTAATTATAGGAATCAAAGGGTAAAAAATGACAAAATACTATTTTTAGGAAAATGTCTGTACACTACTTAGAGTATTCCAATTTTTGTGTGTAGTTAGTGCTAACTTTTTACTAGATTTTGTTCAAGTTATAGGGTCTAGTCTTAATAATTTCTCAAGACCGGTCGAACGCTATAGTATCATCTAACAATACCATCAACTTGGTATGAACCAATAGTGGGTGAGTCAGATTGAGTATAGTGGCGGCAACGGGTATTGGTGGGTGGTGGTGGGTGGAGACGGATAATGGTGGTAAGTAATGGTGGTGTGGACGGTAATGGTGGGTGATGGGGGTAGTAAATGATAGTGGGATAAATATAAAAAATGGTATAATAATGGAGATTTTTAAATAATCTCTTTCATTAAGGGTATTTTTGTCAAAAATTTTTGATGAGCAATACAATAGAACCTTCAAAGGCAGTGTTCAATTCAACATCTAAGGAAAAGAAAATTTGGACTGCAGAACCATCTCCATAATGAATTACAAATTCACAATCCATTAATATATCAATATGTATCGACTTTATCATCATCAATTTACAAAACTTGATTCAATTTTAGAAAATTTGGTTATGCCCTCACATGTTTTTTTTAAATTGTTGCTGAAAGGCTTCACAAAAAAGTTCCCGCCAACTTATTTTTGGTTCGAATGGTGGTGCAAAATGATGTTTTGCACAAACGTAGTCAATCTATAATTAGTGTGGAAATATATGGTGTTTCAGGGTTTTGGAATAAACCTTCAAAATATGGAGAACTATTATGGTTTAATAGCTGGGAGTGCTGCAACAGCCCCTGCAATTCCCCCCAAAAATGCAAGGTATAGTCTATTTTTCTAAGAAAATTCTGGCTTCAACCAGCTCTAAAATGGAAATGTTTCGAAAAAGAAATAAAAAGCCAAACAATTCTAGAATTTTATTCTGAAACATTGAAAGAAAGTTCTGAAAACATTATGGAATCACCAAAACTACAGCAAAAATGATTGAAACAAAATAAAATTTTGATACTTAGTTAGTAATCAATGTACTATTAAGGATATCAAATAATATTGAAATGAATACTACCATAGTTGTTGGTATTTTATGATACTAGGTATTTGCGAGTACGCGATACGCATTTTATAATGCATTTCGATACAATAAAAATACAATACACAAAATATCAAAACGACCTCGTTTCAAAAGACTTTTTCTACCTAAACAATGGAACAACATTGTTTCCTCAATATGTTTTAATTTTTTGGTTTTACCTCAAACAAAACTATCGATCATCTCACTCTCTCATGACCCACTTTTTGTTTTTCTAGAATTTTATTCTTCAGACAAAATGCTACCTACATTTCGATCTCTATAGTGTAGACAAATGATTATTTATCTTTTTATCTCTATTTGACACACAAATCACATGAAATGATAAGTGAGTTGAAATGAAATTTATATTACTTCAGACATAATATTTTTAGGTATGTGTATATATATGTGTGTGTGCATGTAAACTTAAGTTGGAACGTATTTTACAAGATACAATACATTATGATACATGATATTATTTTTTAAAATTAATACACATTTTGATATATGTTTTGACAACCATGAATACTGCATGACAACCTCCACCCCTTTTATTCAAGAACTCCCATCTTTGCCCTCAAAGAACTCTTGGGGAAAAAAAAGAAAAGAAAATGCCTGAAAGTGACTCATTTTTATGAACTTTATTTTATAGTCTTGAGATTGTTCCTCCTTTTTTTCAGCTTCTGCAAGAACAATACGCTAGACCCTACCTTAATTAAGGGGAAGATTGTGGTTTGCACAACTGAGTTGCTTACTGACAAGTGCGCAGAAAAGGCCATTTTTGTGAAACAAGGTGGTGGTGTTGGGATGATACTCATTGATCTAGTGGCCAAAGACGTTATCTTTCAGTTTGTAAGCCATGGTAGTGTTATTTATCCAGAAGCAGCAGGAGAGCTATATGACCACAGAAAAGTAGGTTCCAAAGCTGACACAAGTATAATTGCATTGAAATTACGAGTTATAGTTCTATACCAAGGAGAATAGATAGTTTTTCAACATTATGATTCTTTTGTTATATATTTCAGGGATCCTGTGGCAAAGATCTTCCCAACACAGACAGTTCTATTTACCAAACCCACACCAAGGATGGCTGGTTTCTCTTCAATGGGTCCAAATATTATAACACCAGACATCATCAAAGTAGGTTCTGAAAGAACTTAAAAATAGTTGCAAAGTGTCGTACCATTATTGATAAACAACATTTTGTGCCTGTGATGAATTTGATGAACATCAAACTCACACAAATCCGACCTAATAGCTGTAATTTTTATTTTTATTTTTTTGCAGCCTGATATTACAGCACCTGGGGTGAATATTTTAGCAGCATGGTCTCCAGTAGCAATTGGAGCCACAGCTAGACGCACACTTGACTATAACATAATTTTTGGTACTTCTATGTCTTGTCCACATGTTTCTGCAGTGGCTGCTATTATAAAGTCATGGCATCCTTCTTGGAGCCCAACAACAATAAAATCTGCAATAATGACAACAGGTAAGTTCATAAACTAAATCAGATCTTTTTTTTTTCTTTTTTTCTTTTTTTTTGAAGGTTAAGCATCAATATTGTTATTACTAGTTGTTTCTAAGTTTCACATCTTATTCCTGCCAACGACAGTCCTAGATAACACTGGAAACTTCATTAAAAGCAATCCCCGTGGCGCCTCGACCACGCCTTTTGACTATGGATCCGGGCACATAAATCCAGTTGCAACCATGGATCCAAGACTAGTATATGATTTTGATTTGAGTGACATTGTGGATTTCCTCTACAGCATTGGTGCAAGCTTTACACAACTAAAAAACCTCACTGGCAAGCTAACTTATTGCAAGAATCCTCCTAAACTGTCAAATGATTTTAACTATACATCAATTGGGGTGTTCAACATGAATGGAAGTTTATCGGTGCATCGAACTGTCACCTATTATGGTGAAGGTCCGACAATTTATCGTGCACAACTAGAATATCCAAGCAATATAAATGTTACAGTTATACCAAATGAGCTCAAGTTTGCAAAGTTTGGGGAGAAGATGTATTTCAGGATAGATTTCACTCCTTACAAGAGCAGTAATGGAAGCTTTGTGTTTGGAGCTTTAACATGGATTAATGGCATCCACAGGGTTTGAAGTCCCATTGGTCTTAATGTGGTTTCTGTGGGGGAATGAGCGAATCTACAAACACTTAAATTTTTAAGATTTATAATATGGTTAAGGCCTCTGAATTTTGTTGTGTTTAAGTAATATAATATAGTTCATTACAATGTATGCTTCTTGTTTGAAAATCTTCTTTTCCGATATGCAATTTGTTTTTGAATACATATTTTGCTATTGGGACCGACAAAATTGCCATGATTTGCTGATTTAACAAAGTTTTTGTAAGGATGAAGAAACTAACACATTTTCCAATTTTATCATGGCATATAATGTTCTATGTTGTTGACGAACATCATTCTTGCAGCACATTCCCTATTTTGTCATTTTGTGTACAAAACCAAACCAAACAAATGTGTTATTTTGTCCTTCGTATTTGACAGTAGATTTTTCTTTATTTTTGTCTCATTTGCTTTGTAATTGCCCAAAAATTTATAAATATAAAAATGACATAAAAATACACACAAATGTGTGTTCATTGAGGTGAAAAAAGCATGGTTGGGGGTCANATGACATAAAAATACACACAAATGTGTGTTCATTGAGGTGAAAAAAGCATGGTTGGGGGTCAAATTGTAATTATAAGAATCATTGGGGAAAGAATGACAAAATATTGTATTTAGGAAGTATNAATGACATAAAAATACACACAAATGTGTGTTCATTGAGGTGAAAAAAGCATGGTTGTATTATAGTTGATGACCAGTACATGGAATTGTGCATTACAGTAAATGGGGGTCAAATTGTAATTATAAGAATCATTGGGGAAAGAATGACAAAATATTGTATTTAGGAAGTGTGTGATTGTTTCCACCGACAAAAGATCACAATACAAATTATATAGCCTTGCGTTTTATGGTGTAATTGGAAAGTTGGTGGATTCACAACCCAAACTCAGCCATGAATTGACAATGCTATATAGTCAAGAACCGAAGCTTTCATCTTCCACCTATCAAATTTTAGCAATACTGAAACAATTAATTTTATGGTAAAGTATTACATTCAACAATTAAAATTTGGGGTAAATTATACTTTGACCCCTTAAACCATGACTATTTTTTTATTTTACCCCATCAACTATTGAATTTTTCACATTGCCCCTCAACTATTTTGATTATTTCACAATGCCCTAATCGCAAACGTTAGTTATTTTTTTGGATGAAAATTGCTAATGTGTTGAAGCAAAGTGAAATAAATTATATAGTTCAGGTGGACTAAGTAAAATTATNTTTTACCCCATCAACTATTGAATTTTTCACATTGCCCCTCAACTATTTTGATTATTTCACAATGCCCTAATCGCAAACGTCCGTTATTTTTTTGGATGAAAATTGCTAATGTGTTGAAGCAAAGTGAAATAAATTATATAGTTCAGGTGGACTAAGTAAAATTTTTTTTTGTTAAATATGTCATGGATGATAGTAATTAGGACAATATGAAACTATTCAATATATGTTCTGTTTTGCAGAGCTATTGCAACTGTGAGAATGGATGTGTTATGCGCATGTGGGAAGAAGGTGGTGAATGTGACACTTTGGAAGAATCACAATCCTGGAAGAAGATTTTTCACTTGTTAAAACCAAGGGTGTGGATTTTTCTCATGGTACGACCCCTAATGTGTTCGTGTGCATGTCAAGTAGTTCCTGGTCTTCTCAAAAAATTAGATATGCTGGAAGTTTAGGAAGCTAGTCGTAGATCAAGAAAGAGCATATATGTCGAACGATGTGAGATTTAGGAGGGAAAAATGCCGTCGACAATTTTTGTTTCCTTCCTCTGTCCTCCATTTTGGTCACGTGAACAACACACTGTTTGGACTATTTTACATTTTGACGAAATGTAGATGGAAGTGCCTGATTGCATTGATTGCAAAAGTTGGACGGCTAAATTGAAAAAAAAAAAAATTTTTGGAGACTTAATTGATGCAAAGAATATNAAGTGCCTGATTGCATTGATTGCAAAAGTTGGACGGCTAAATTGAAAAAAAAAAAATTTTTTGGAGACTTAATTGATGCAAAGAATATAAGCTCAAGGGCTAAATCCGTTAGGACTGATGCTGTAAAAGCCTTGGCGAGGATCATGATCCTCAATTTTGCACAGTTTTGCATGGCTTAAAGAGGGCCAACAATGCAATTCACCCTATTTCAATAGTTGGAGGGCTAAATTGAAAAAAAAACTGTTTAGAGACTTAATTGACATAGAATATATAGTTCAAGGACTAACAATGTAATTTATCCTTTCAAATAAGTGCCATGGTAGAAAAGTTTGAAGTAAAGATAACATTTTGGCCTGAGTAATGCTACACTGATCAAATTTTAAGACTAAATTTAAAGTTTAAATGACATGACAACTGACTTGAGCTTATTTATTTAGTGTCATGTCATTTGGACCCCAATAAAAATTTCAAATAATATGTTGTCATATTATTTGAACTCTAAATTTAGTCTCAAAATTTGATCACTATCTGGCCCCTACAAGTTGACCAAAATTCAATGGGAATAATTCACTGGAAGCTTCATTTGGATACAGCATGGCATGAGCAAGAAAATTCATCACACATAATAAAATCCTATATATATCTTTACGACACCGCGCTGAAATTCATTTGATGATTTTGGTTTGAACCATTTACAAGCATTATTGAAAAAAAATTAATAAGGTAGTTAAAAAAAAAATTACACATGTCAAAATTTTGTTAGATAAAAAGTAAATGCTATGTTATCCAAAAGGTATATTTTGATACCATAATAGAAGTCAATTGTCGACGAGGTTTAAAATTTTGTTTTGAAATAGTCAGAACGTCTGAAATGTTTAGTCTTTAAGGAGATCGAAATGAATTATTGATAGAATTAAAATTATAATATTTTAAAATATTTTGTAATATTTCAATACATTTGCAAAAAATATTTTATACTATTTCAAAGTATTTCAAGATATTTTGATATATTTCGACTTTGAGAAAAATTATTCTTAAATTTTTTAGGATTAATTACAAAATACACTCTCTAAATTTAGGTTATATTACAATCAACTCTTCATGATTTTAATTTAAACAAGTTACCGCTTTCAAGTTTGAAATTACACCAATTTTCTCATCCGTTAACTATTACTGTCAAAAATTGACAATAATTGTCCACGTGAGTTTCATGTCATCTTGATTTCCTTCAAAAGACATATATACCCTGTTAACCGCTTTGTCCCTTCCCAGATACAAAATCCCAGCCACTCAATCTCCCCTCAGAGGTGATATGCGACTAGCAAGGTTCGAATGAAAATGATTGCAAACCGCGACATTTTTCACTTTCCTCCCCTTAATCGGAGTTCCGTTCAAGGCTGTGGTAGAGTTGGAGTTAGTCCACAACATTATTGGGGCTTTTTATCGAATCGAAGTGGTTTAGGTCGAATCGAAGTTCTATATAAGGGTTGAATTCTGAATTGGGGGAATCAAACTTTTGTTTGTGGTGGTTTTGCTACAACTGCAGCGGTGATGAAGGCTGGGCAGTGGTTGAAGAATTCACAACGCCCTATTCTCTTTATCTTTTTCCTCAAATTTTCCCTTTTTCTTTGGTTGGCTGGTGTCTAGGGATGTTGTGATCGGGTGCGCAGTTGTTGTAATGCAGATGAAAATTGGGAGACGTTGATTTTTGCTGCTAGTCGATATTGGAGGCAGTGTTGTTGGTTCGGTCTATGACGAGGCATCAACAAGTTGTGATTGAATAAAGTCGTGTTGAGTATGGAGGTGATGGGCTGCCGGACGTAGGTGTACGTGTTGATGTATAGTGCTAGCGTTGGGTATGGAGATGAGAGTTGGGATACCACCAAAGTTGGAGAATAAGGTTTGGGGAAAAGAGGGCGCTAGTGTTTAGGAAAGGGTTTAGGGGGACTGCTGGAAAAAATGTAAGGACGAAAAGTTAGAAGAATAAATATAATATTATGTTTGGTAAAGATGAAAAAGTGGATGAATTAATTTTTTTTTTAACTCATCAAAATTAATTCTTCTAAAATTAAGAAAAAAATTGATAAAAAGTTAATTATGTATGTTATTTATCCATATATTATTTAATATACACATATATCATATATATCAACTACAAATTATGTATTTATATTTTTCATCTATCCTACTTTCTTTTAAAGAAGGATAAAAAATGTATTATTCATATTTTTTATCCTTCATAATTTATATAATTTCTATCAAACAGAGCATTAAAGGTTATTAGTGGAAGAAAATTAGGTGATGTCAGGCTCTTGAATTTTAATATGATAGGTAGAAAAAGGGGAAAGAGAATAATATTAAAGTAAGGGGCATCATAGGAATTTTATATATTCATCCACTATGTTAGTCAATTCAGCCCAACAAAAACTTGAAGAGAGTAAATAGTTTAAATTGAAATCACGAGGAGGTGATTGTAACATGACATAAATTTAGAGGGTGCACTTTGAAATTAACTCAATTTTTTATTTTTTCATTATGTTTTTGAAACGAGTTGAAATATTTTTAAAATATGTTAAAATGTTTTCATTTTTTAGATGACTGAAATAATACATCGAAATAAAACTTTGATCATTGTGAATTGATAATCATATTCAAAAAGCAATCCAAACTAGAACACCTGGATTTTCAATTAGAGAAGTCTTCCCTTTGACTAGTGATGATGCACAAATTGAATTTGTACACCACCTATCAAGTGATCAATAATAAATGCAATAATTAAGAAGAGAAAGATGAAGACACAAGCAAGACAAGAATTTATAGTAGTTCGATCAACGTCACTTACGTCCACTTTAAAAGGCTAGGGTCGCCTGAGTATTTTATTACTTCAAATAGTGTAGTGAGAGCAGGAAGATATCAGCTATGAGAGTTATAGAGATGTGCTCAACTGAGTGTGGTGTCCCCAAGTTGGCGGGACTTACAATTTATAGTCGTCTTATAACAGATTAAGACAAGTTACTAGTAACTAAGTGGCTAATGTGGTGGA